TCTTCTTTATTAAGCTGAAATCAAAAATATTAAACCACAAAAAGACTTTTGGTTCACACCCCTCCTCCTGTAGATAGCAATGAGGACAGATGTTCTTTCATTGGATTTGATTAATTCTTTCATAATGGAATAAAAATTAACTTCACAGAGACAGTACATACAGCCAGAGGTAATCCAATGCCTAATGAATGAAATATTACATAACCAAACAGCTTAAGTGGCTATTCTTGATTCAAAAGGCACAGCCTATTTTATAACATTTAATTTCCTTTCATTCCTTCCAATTTTGTCATTGTGTAGTAATTACTGCTCTTTGAAAACCATGCCTTCCGCTCATCGCATTCCTGCCCTTGTGAACGAACCGCGCCCACCCACGCTGGACTTCGCTGGGCTTGAGTGGAAAAGTCACGGCACAAAAAAGCAGGTCATCTGTCTGTCTCCAGGATGCTCCCAGGCCCTCTCCTGCTTGCCCATCCCATGATTTCTGCCACCCACTCAGTGTCCAGGTTCCTCCACACCCTGACATTTGAGGTTGGTGCCACGGCCTCATACTTTCCTGGTAACGTGGATGGATGATTCAGTTTGGGCTTGCTGTCCCTCCAGGATGGAATTCCTCAGCTCCGCCTTCTTACTCCCCTCTGTGACAGCCAGCAAGCAGACCTCTGCCTCTGGCCACAGCACCCCTGGGAACACAAGCTCCAAAGAGCCCCCACCTGACGGGGGGCGGGGGGGGAGACTGGCAGGCATCAACACTGCTCACATTCCTACTTCCACTCATCAGCTTCCCGTATCTTAAATCCTCCCCCTCAACAGCTTCCCTAAAACCTTAGCCTATAAAGCTCTGTACCCCTGCACCCCGCCTCTCCCATCCTCCCCTCTCCTCGGAGAGCTTACCTCTCCCATGAGGACACCCCTGGCCCTCTGAAGGGTGGGGGCGTGGATATGGGTGCTCCTCACTGACCTCTTCAACTTCGAGACCATTGTCCACATGCACCGTCTCAATGAAGGCCTGCTCCACCAAGGTCCGGCCTTTTGATCACTCATTCCCCTTGTCCTCAACCTTTTTTCCTACTTCCTGGTTACTCGCTCTCATTCACTGAAGACTTTAAGTAGCTAGATCACTAGAAATTGTTCTCACCCCACACTGTTTCTCTGTCGGAGCTATAACTCAAAATCTCAATCTGGCCCAAGCTCTCTCCTCCCAGGTTATCTGCAATCATTCCCACTACCTCTGTTCTTCAGATCCTGTAGGACCTGTGGGCCATCAACCCACACCCTTCTCTAGGCAACAGTCTCCCCTCCTGTTATGCTGCTTTGATTCCCAAGTCCTAAGGGATCGCCACCTTCCCTTCCTCTCGGTGCTCTCATACCCTTGAGATACTCTGTTGAACCCTCAGTGAATCGAGCTGTCTGATGTTAAATACTGCTGGAGAAAATCTGGTGTGGTGTGGTAGGATTTGCTCTGCTGTCACGCACCTCTCTTCCTCTCCTTCCTCTGGCCACCTCCATGGAGTGGAAGCCAAGGGACCGTTCTCAGTCTTCGCCTTACCTAACGTGACCTCCAACGCACCCCACGTTCTGGCTTTCCTCCTACCTCACCACTGCTGCCTCCTCATCACTCTGACCTCTCACTGGAAGCTGCACCAGGCCTTGGTCTGCAGCCTGTATCTCCTCCTCCTTACCTACATGTACTGCTTAGGTAACCATCCGATCTCTTGGCTTTAAATGCCATCTCCATGCTGAAGACGCCCAGATGTGTGTGTCAAGCCTGGATTCCAGAACTGCCTTCTTGAATGTTTGCCTAGGCTACCTCATAGGCATCTCAAATTTCATATGTCCCAAACCCAGTTCTCCACCTCCCCACTCGGCCCCACCTTTTTTGGGATTCATGCAGTCTCCCCATTTCAATAAAAGGCAGCTTCATCATTCTATCTCTCTTGGTTCAGAAATGTGACTCAACAATTTCTGTTAAACCTCTAACTCATCTGTCAGCTAATCCTGTCAGCTCTCCTTCCCAGTCTCCTCTCCATAGGAGGGCACTGGAGAGCATCACCCTCTTGATATCCTTTCATCTCAACCATTCATAAGATCATTTATATGGAAACCAGTTTGCAGTGGTTCTCAGCCTTGGCTGTACATTGGAATCATCTGGGTTGTCAGCGCCTTTAAAAATTCTGGTGTCCACATCCCACCCCCAGAGATTCTTATTTAAATGGTCTGGAGTATGGCCTGAGACTTTTAAAAGCCACTCCTGGGAGAAGGCTGGGGGATGGGCTAAATGGGTGGTGTGTATTAAGGAGGGCACTTGTCGTGATGAGCACTGGGAAAAAAACAACGTGTAAGGGAAAAGACCAATATTACACTATATGTTAAACTAGAATTTAAATAAAAATTTGGGGGGGGGAACCATAAAAAATCAATAAATAAAATCCATTCCTCGCCCCCACCCACGTGGTTTTATTGTGCTGCTAAGTTTTCTAGCCACTGTGTTAGGGCTTTAAAAAGAGAGACCTGGTGAAAACCATTAGTATTAACCAGTGTTTATCAAGTAGATTTCAGAATCGGTATCACACACTAAAAATAATATCCCCAAATCAAAATAAACAATAATAAGAATTAAAACTAACCTGCTTCCCAGTACATCACTATGCTCTATTCTCGTGAACAAGCCTTATAATCTCAATCTTTACTTTCATTTTCTTTCTCATTTTTATAAGAATCTTTTTTATTCATTTTAAATAGTGATCATTTGGTGAGAAAATCTTACCACTGGCTAAAAAATTGGCCAGAATATCACCAAGTCTCAGCTCTGGATCCTCTGTGTTTTCTTTTCGAGGACAGACATTTTTCTGTGAATTTTGAGGGAAATCAAGAAGCTCATCACAGTTTTAGGCCGGGTTGAAGGAGTTTAACAATTTAACAAGGCCGGTTTCATCGCCTTGACTTTCTTTTTCAATTTTTGCTCACTTTTCTTGCAAAGTTATACAGGCCGTGGTACGCAGGCTTCTCATGGGTGACCCGTCTGCAGTTTTTTAATGCTAAGTTAACAAGAGGAAAGAGATAATTGGGAAGTAAAGAAGAATTGCTTAAAAACACTCTAGGAGTGGTGTGGGGGAGGAAGGAGAAAGGAAGAAGCAAAGGAGGCCAGGGCCTGGCACCTTTTCTCAGTTCCCATTAGGCGGTGGGGTGGGGGGAGCAGGTAAACATCTGGTAGACTCTGTCGGGGGGGGGTGTACCCACATCACAACTGAATCTAACAGTTCTCTTTCCCACCCTAATTTCTATTTTCCTCTGATCGAAATTTGTAAATATTTCCACCTGTTTAATGAAATTCATGAATAATCCAGATTAACCCAAAAATACAGATTGAGTTGCCTGATTTTCTTATTAAATTCTTCTTCTGATGCTCATTGTTCCAGGAATACACCAGAGCATGTTTATCTCAATCTTCATCTGAAACCTAAATTGTATTTCTTTCAAAACATGTCAACCAGAGTGTAAGGGAAAAAACAAACCAACATTGATTGAAACATTGAAACATAGAAAATACAACACGAATCAATGAAAACAACTTCTTTAAAAAAAAAAAAAAAACCTAAAAGAGAATGGAGCAAATTCAATTTTGTGGTGCCTTTTGCTTGTTTGTTTTATTTTATTTTTACACTTATTTTACTGCCCTTGCACTTCAAGCTGGAATTACGAGTACACTTCTCAAATTATTTTAAGCAAATGAAAAAAGATTCAACACCCTATGAAAACAAATATCTCAAAATACCTCCGATGGTCGCAACGTTCATATCTGAACATTTAACTATAATCCTACATAGGACCGGTAATACTTGTGTTTGTTTGTTTGTTTGTTTGTTTTTCCAATCGTTTGTAATTTGACTTGAAAAACATGGAATTTTTCAATTTTGTCTAAAAAAATAAGAACAAGCCTTTCTCTCCTGTGCTACATATAAAGGACCTTCTTTGTCACCTTCTCTCCTGGAATCCCAACAGACCGACCCTACTACCTTCACTCCTCTAACCAAGGTAATGATGGTTTGTGCTGGAAATCTAAATCTGGCCCCAGGCAGCCCAGTGATTTTCCAGGTGGACGCAAAGGGAGAAAGCGCGAAGACAGGCTGTGTCCCTCTCCCGCGCGCCTGCGGCCGGCAGAACTGGAAGAAGTCTGCCACCTAGTGGAGGATGTAGGCCAAGGCTGGTTACTTGAAATAGTTTTGTGCCAGGGTTTCGTGGCTGTCAAGAACCGCTTCTATAAATGGAGTCCTGGAGCCATGTTCCATTAGGGACATGGTGTACTATCCAGAGACTACCCAGCCCCAGCTACAAACAATATGCCAAACCCCAGACACAAAACGTTCCTTCCTATAAATGAAAACTACACAGTGGCGCCCTACATAAAACCTCTTCATCTAGTGCCTCAGGAAGTACTGAGTGTTTTTACTTAACAAATCCCCTCCCATTGCCACAGTGATTACCAGTGTATTCTGTGTGTCTTTTCCTACACGGTGAAAACACAAGGTGTGAAGTATACTCATCCCCCATTATTATGATTAAAGTTGTACTTGTGAATTTTCTGCACAGAGAGCATTTTTCAGCTCTTCATACCCATGCAATAATTGATCCCAGTTTATGGCTGCCACTCAAAAATGATTGACATGTTCAAATAAAGTTAAGGGATTGGAAGCTGGATCCCAGGCCAGGCTATGCAGATATGTTTGTGCTCTCTTCTTTTGATTCCATTTGTCACAGTATTCTAGTTTGCTTTATGTTTTAAATGCTTGTTTTAAATTTATATTAAAGTAGCACATGTCTGCAGCCAATTAAGCCGCCTGTGCTCTTTCTCCATGGGGGCCCAGTGTGCCATGGCTGCAAACAGTAGGCTCCTTGGAAGTGTGTGCAGCCTGTTGATTGTATGGGTTACCCAAAGGGACCTTGGAGATAGCCCTTTCCAGTGGACACTGAGGTCTGACCTCATGCTATCTCCAATCTAGGCTGCAGACAGGTATGCGGGGTGCCTTTGGAACGCCCCAGGGCACAGTGGCCAGGGTCCACATTGGCCAAGTCATCATGTCCATCCGTACCAAGCTGCAGAACAAGGAGCATGTGATTGAGGCCCTATGCAGGGCCAAGTTCAAGTTCCCTGGCCGCCAGAAGATCCGTATCTCCAAGAAGTGGGGCTTCACTAAGTTTAATGCAGACGAATTTGAAGACATGGTGGCTGAAAAGTGGCTCATCCCAGATGGCTGTGGGGTCAAATACATCCCTAATCATGGCCCCTTGGACAAATGGAGGGCTCTGCACTCATGAGAATCTCGGCACTGCCCCCTCCCTATTCATGCCCACCCATAAATCCTACTTCCTGTCAAAAAATAAATAAAATAGCACATGGACAGTACCTATTTGAAAACATCAGTGCTCTGTTCTACCCCTTCCTACTCTAGTCTTGTTCCCTAGAAGTAACTACTTGTCGATCTGTTAGATGCTTCTTCTGCTATGTTCCTCCATAATCTCGAAATAAAATGTGTTTGCTGCTGTGTCCAGATCTATTGGTGGTGGACTGTTTTGGTTTGGTCTCCAAAGCAGACCATGAGGTAAGGGATCCTGGGAAGGATGGGGAAGTAAGATGAGACAGGGAAGGAAGCCAGGAAAGAGTACAGCCTCAAACCAGCTGCAGCTGAGGGCACCTAGAGAAGCTATCAAACTACAAAACACTATTGGGAGAAATTTTTAAAGTTAATACATGGAAAGGTATACCTTCTTCATGGGTCAAAAAAAAAATGTCATTTCTCCCCAAATTAATAGATTCCATATAACCCCCAATCAAATTTCCCACAGGCTTTATTATAGACATTGAGAAGCTAATTCCAAAATTCATATGGTAAAGCAAAGGACCTAAAATAGCCAAATCAACCTTGAAAAAGAAGAACAAAGTTGGATGATTTACTATACTTGATTTCAAGATTTACAAAGCCACAGTCATAAAGACAGTGTCATGCTGATTTAAAATACACGAGTAGAGGCGCCTGAGTGGCTCAGTCGGTTAAGCGTCTGCCTTCGGCTCAGGTCATGATCCCAGGGTCCTGGGATCGAGCCCTGCATTGGGCTCCCTGCTCCACGGGAAGCCTGCTTCTCCCTCTCCCACACCCCCCTGCTTGTGTTCCCTCTCTTGCTGTCTCTCTCTCTCTCTCTCTGTCAATTAAATAAATAAATAAAATCTTTAAAAAAATAAAAATAAAAAATAAATAAAACATACAAGTAGATCAACAGAACAGAATAGAGTCCAACAATAAAAGCACATAGTTACGGACAAATAATTTTCAACAAGGTACAAAATCTATTCAGTAAAGAAAAAAATAGTTCTTTCAACAAATGGTATGAGAACAATTGAATATCCATTTGCAAAAGCATGAACTTCAATTTACACCTTGCACCATGTACAAAAATTAACTCGAAACAGATCACAGACCTAAATTTAAAGGCCTTTAAACTACAAAACTTCTAGAAGCAAACACAGTAGAAAATTCTTGTGACTTTAGTTTAAGCAAAGGTTTCTTAGATACAATACTATCGTTCATAAAGAACAAATTAATAAATTGGATTACATCAAAATTTAAAACTTAACAAATTGATAACCTGGACTACATCAAAATTAGAAACTGTTCTCCAAAGACACAGCTGTGAAAATGAAAAGACAAGCATCAGACTGGGAGAAAATACTTGCAAACATATATATCTGATAAAGGACTTCTACGCAGAATATATAAGGAACTCTCACTATTCATTAATAAGAAAACAACTCAAAAAAAAATGGTCAAAAGACCTGAAGAAATAGTTCAAAAAAATGAAACATAGTTTCTTAATTTTGACTTAGGTATACACCCATAAATATAGTGGCAAAAAACTAGTGGCAAAAAAAAAAGCACATAGGAAAATGCTCACCATTATTAGTCATTAGGGAAATATAAATTAAAACCACAAGAAGATGGCACTACTATTAGAATGGTTAAAATTTTAAAAGACTGGCCACAAGTCAAGAATGTGGAGTAATGGGGCTCCTGGGTGGCTCAGTCGGTTAAGTGTCTGCCTTTGGCTCAGATCATGATCTCACGGTCCTGGGATCCACCCCAACGTCCTGCTCCCTGCTCAGCAGGGAGTCTGCTTCTCCCTCTCCTCCCTCATGCTCCTCGCTCATGCTCTCTCACTCTCTCTCTCTCAAATAAATAAATAAAATCTTAAAGAAAAAAAAAGAATGTGGAGTAACTAAGACTCTCACTGATAGGAATATAAAATAGTATGAAAACTTTGGTAAACAGTTTGGCAATTTATAAAAAGTTAAACATACGCTACCAGATGATCCAGCCATGCCACCCCTAGGCATTTACCCAAGAGAAATAAAAACATATGTCCATACAAAGCTTGTACATGAATGTTCATAGCAGCTTTATTTGTAATAGCTAGAAACCACTCTAACATCCATCAACAGGTCAGTGTCCATAAACAAACTGTAGAATAGCCCTACAATGGAATACTGTTCAGCAAGAAAAAGGAATGGACTATTAGTACATGCAGCAACACAGAGGAAGCAGTCTGCAGTCAAAGAAGCCAGACATTTATGTGAAATTTATAAAATGCAAGCTAATCTATAGTGATAGCAGGAAAGAAGATCAGTGGTTTCCTAGTGGAGGAGGAAACTTTTAAGGCTGATGGTATGCTCATCACCTTGATTGTGTTTATAGGGACACACATATGTCAAAACTCATCAAATTACACACTTTAAATATGTGCAGTTTATTGTATCTCAATTATACACCAATCAGGCTGTGTAAAAAAATATTATTACAAAGACTCAACTGGGTCTAAGACCTGCTTAAGAAGTTATAATGTCTAAATGTGATTCTTATAAATATTAGTTCACTTTTTTCTTCCAAGCAATTAAATACGTAACGTCCTCATTAATCTGCATTACAGTAGCTCCCTCTTGTCCACAGGGGATACGTTCCAAGACCCTCAGTGGATGCTGGGATCGTACCAAACCCTATTATACTGTTTTTTCTTATCCATATGTATGTACATGTGGAAAAGTTTAATTTATAAATTAGGCACAATAAGGCATTAACAATAACCAATAATAAAATAGAACAATTATAACAATATACTGTAACAAAAGTTATGTGAATGTGGTCTCTTTATAAAAATACCTTATTGGACTATACTCACCCTTCTTGCGACGATGTGAGAGAATAAAACACCTACATGCTGAGATGAAGCGAGGTGAATGACGTAGGCATTGTGATGCAGAGTTAGACTACTTATTGACCTTCTTGTGATTCGTCAGAAAAAGGATCATCTACTCCGGGACCACGGTGGACCGCGCAACTGAAACTGGGGAAAGCAAAACCACGGATTGATAAGGGGACACTTGCTGTGCATATATTCCATATGTAATCAGCATGATTTACATAATTCTTGGCTCACTTTGGAAGTCCAGGAGGTTCAATAAAAATACCTGCCTTTGCTTTCAGTGGAAATATGCACTGCAGTGGACGACTCTGGACAGTGGGGGGAGCCTGGACAGTGTAGATTGGCAATTATGTGCATCCCTTTAATTTAGCCAACCAAAGCTGTCAGTATCCCTGTGAGAGCTGCAGTCAACAAGGATGCAGAGACATCCCCATCCTCCAATTAGAGGCACCATTTTATTGTCTGGAAAAAAAAAATGACACCTCAGGAGGAGCATATAGTATTTGGATTAAAATTTATGTGAGTCAGGAGTATAATCTTTGGACCCAACAGGCTGAGGTAAACTTGGCCCTAGCTCAGTTTGTATATCATCATAATCCAGATCAACTGAAATTTAACAATCTTATCTGGGACTATGTGAAAAACTAATACAAGATAGACCATGGTGTTGAAAATTAAACAAAAAATTGGGTTTAAACAATTTATACTTTTTTAAAAGATTTTATTTATTTATTTATTTGACAGGAAGAGAGAGAGAACACAAGCAGGGGTAGAGGCAGAGGGAGAAGCAGGCTCCCCGCTGAGCAGGGAGCCCAGTGTCGGGCTCGATCCCAGGACCCTGGGATCATGACCTGAGCGGAAGGCAGACGCTCAACAGACTGAGCCACTCAGGCGCCCCAGTTTATGCCTTTTAAATGGTGGTCACTAGGCTGCTGTGGGAAAAATTCCCATGACCAGCACCTTCAAAGCCTTGCTGTTGTAAGCCTGGTGTCATTATTTTACTGGTCCTGTGTTATTGTCACAACAGGCAAAAAAAACAGCCTTCCTATTTCTTTTGCACTGGGTAATAGAAACTAGAGTTTTGTAAGTCCTCTATTTTCCCTCTCCCCCCTCTCTCTCTCTCTCTCTCGGAAATTATGCATGCTTGATACTTGCAATGCCTGTATTAGAGAACCATATTTATGGTCTTTGGTGCCCCAAATAGGCAAATCTATAATTGAATAACATCATAAGCAATTATCAGTTATAAACAAGGATGTCAGTTCACTTCTTAGCCTAAGGGCCTGTCCACAGAGTTGTACCGACTCAGCCTCTCATGCATCTTCTGCCCAGGCCTCCTGACCCAGGGGAACTCCACTGTGGGGAATTCTGAAAAGGGGAGGGAATACCTCACCAGCAGTTACCACCTGATTGTACCATGAAAAAAAAAAAAAAATAGGGGGCACCTGGGTGGCTCAGTTGGTTAAGCGCCTGCCTTCGGCTCAGGTCATGATTCCAGGGTCCTGGGATGGAGCCCCACATCGGGCTCCCTGCTCAGTCAGGAGTCTGCTTTTCTCTCTTCCCCTCTCCCTGCTCATGCTTGCTCTCTCTCAAATAAATATGTAAAATCTTTAAAAAATAGGAAAAACTTTGCTGAATAACCCTTTTGACCAATGTATGTCTCTTAATGTTCTGAATCTTTCTGCTCATGCCTTTTATGAAGAATAAGTGAATTATTAAGACTTGGCATAGAGAGGAAAGTCTCCCATAATCTCTGTTCAAAATTCTCTAAAATAAGAGTCATACATTTTAATTAGTCAAATGTGCATAAATAGGCAAAATTTCCAGACTACAGCAAAATTCTTCAATTGTCTACTGATTCTTTCCTCTCCTTAATATAGTTTTATTACCTTACAGAAGCTTTTCTCATTTCTCTCCAGGAGGAACATCTTAACAAATAGTAAAGTGGGAAGAGAACAATATCAGAAGAACAAAGATCACAAGTGGATAGACTTTAAAAATTCTTCCTCACCTTTAGTTTTCTTCCAGATTCTTCTACTGTAAAACTCTCAAGCACCTGACTCATT